CCGCCAAATCAAAAAGATTAACAAGGAATAAGTTCATATCGAAAAGTAAACATATCTTTGTTTCTTATTTCACTGACTTACACATACACGCTCAAATACACACACACACACACACACACACACACACACACACATATATATATATATATGTATACAGATAAATATATAGATGTAGAAATATTTTTTATATATGCTTACGTAGGTACCTCCACCAGATCGCTAAAAAAAAAGCACAGCATGAAGAAAAAGACACCAAACTTGACGAAAACAAAATTTTATCGTCTAAATATTTATGCTATTATTAAGAAGAAAGATCAAAGTATTTTGGGGGTATTTTTTTTTACATTTTCTAATCGTTCCTAGCACGTCCGAAATTTTCGTTAAAAATCTTTTTTTTTGATTCAGCAAAATTGACAGATGGCAACCATTTTTTCCATTTTATAAAAAAAATGAAAATCTCACTTTGAAATTCTTTTAAATAGCAATTATCATTTTTTCAAAACTTATTTTAAGAAAATCAGAAATTATAATGTTTATTTAAAATATTTTGAACCAAGCTTAACTTAGCTTCTGCGCCGAAAAGATGTAATTTGAAAATAAAACAAAGCAGGTAATAAACTTTCGCCTCACTTGACAGGGGATGAATGACATATTGACGGATTCTGTGAGAATAATTTGTTCTACGGAAGGAGAAAAGTGATATTATTTACATTTCAGTGAACAAATTATTTACCTCGTTATTTTTAAGGAAAACTTGCAGCGCTCTAATTTTTTTGTACTTAGCTTTCACCTTTACGTTTACGATGCTTTATGGAAAATATATTATAAAGAAATTAAAACAAGACTGTTAAGAGTGAGATTAAATTTCATATTTCATAAGAAAGGTATCTAATTAATTTATAGGTACCTTTCTTATGAAATTTTATCAGAAGTGTAAATGAAATATTATAATTTCATGTACATTTATTACATTTTACTGTGTTATTTGTATTTCCATTCATTTTATTATTAATTTTGATATTTCATTTATGGAAAAATGTCATAACTGAGATTAATATAAAAATAAGATCATATAAATTTCATAAGATGATACTGATACCCTTCTCAGTTGAAATTGAAAAATCAAATTAATTTCTCCACACGTGTTTCGCAAAAGTAAAGGATTTAACAGCGGAGAACAATGCTTAACTCAAATAAAGCAACTTAATTGTCTTCCGTACTTTATAATTACAGTCCGATTATACACACAAAATTACATTTCTTAATTACAGCGGATCTTCTGATTAGTCAAAATGATACAATTTACAACGCGCTAAAAAAAAGATCTATCTCATAAGGACACTTAGGAAACCCGGTGTGGCTTATAACTAATTTTATAATATTTTAACAACTTAAATGTAAAAATCTGTTATAATTAAAGAAATAACAAATAATTGTATTAAAAATTCATTTTTCATCGAAATTTTTTTTTGCTTTCAGAAAATATTGCCCATATTCATAAAAACAACTAAAAGAAAATAAAAGCATTTGAAATTAAATAATATATTTGTTTTATTGAGTTTTGCATGTTACACTTCAGGGCTGATTTTCAGGTAGGGGGGTGGGGTCCAGTTAAAAAAACAAAACAAAAAAAAAACATGATTTGCATTCCTCAAAGCCTTGTGCTTTTAACTACTGTAATAACTAAACTTGACGCGATCGAATTTCTAGCGTTTTCATAAAATTAATTATGGGGGGGTGTAATAAATATATAAAAAATATTTCTGCCAAGACTTTCATAAAAAAACATATTTATAATAATTTCGATCATCTGTGAATAGTTTCTGAAAGTTTCATTAACATCCGACACTTATTTTTATTTTCGTCAGATTTTTCAAATTAATGTGTGCATACAGAAAAAAAAAGTGCTAAAAATTGTATGTTATTTACTAGTTCTGGTGATACAAAGAGAAACAAGTCTTTTTTTAATCAAAATTTAGAATGTTCTAAAAAGAAGGAAAATTTTTTAAAAAATCATTAAAATAAACTTTGATCTTTCCTCTTAATAATAACATAAGCATTTAGACGATAAAATTTTGTTTTCGTCAAGTTTGGCGTCTTTTTCATCATGCTATGCTCTTTTTTTAGCAATCTCATGGAGGTGCCTATGCTTACGGCGATATCACGTCCGAGCACCGAAGTTAAACAATGTTGAGGCTGGTCAGTACTTATATGGGTGACAGATTGGGCATACCAGGTGTTGTAAGCTTGGATGTATTTTATCACCTGTATTTTAATCTAGAATATATTTTATTACCTGTATTCTAATCTAGAATATATCTTATCATCTGTATTTTAATCTAGAATGTTTACTATATAAAGATCGATTTATATTATTAATATTTCCCACTAAATCAAAAAGATTTACAAGTAATAAGTTTATATTGAAAAATAAATATATCTTCATTTTTTATATTACTGATATACTGATGTACTTACATGTATATTTATATATCTTTATATTTATATAGAAAAAATATATAGAAATATTTTTTTATATGCTTACGGCGATATCACGTCCGCTCACCGAAGTTAAGCAACGTTGAGGCTGGTCAGTACTTGTATGGGTGACAGATTGGTGATACCAGGTGTTGTAAGCTTGGACGTGTAAGTAGTATGATAGATAACAACACGAAAAAATTGGGGAGTTCGAATTCCAGTCGAATTTGTTACATTCACTTCTGCGCAATTACCCTTGGGAAAAGTGTGAATTAATTTTTCTCCCTCAGCTATAGGGTTAAATAGCATGACAAACTGGGTCTATAACCTTGGTTGCCAGCCAGTCTACAGCGTAAAGTAAGATCAGTCTACTTTTGCCAAGTTAATTATGAATCGAAAAGAGACATGATCGCCCAAGCGTGTATTGCGCATGACACATAAAGAAGGATATTTGTATAGTGTTATTGTGGCTATACAAGAGAGAGAGAGAGAGAGAGAGAGGAAGGAGGAGGGAGGGAGGAGGAGGGAGAGATGGTAATAGATAGATAGAGAGTGAGATGGTGAGAGATAGATAAAGAGAGAGAAAGAAAGAAAGAGATGGTGAGAGATATAGAGAGAGACGATGATAGATATTGATACAGAGAGAGAGAGAGAGAGGGAGGGAGAGAAGGAGAGAGAGAGAGAGAGAGAGAGACAGAAAGGAAATGAGAGGGACAGAGCGAATCTGAAACTGAAATGTTTATATTTTTGACAGCATTGCATATGACATGTACTGCAAATCTCGACGTCAGAAATATGACAGGTATATAAAAAACATTTAAATACGCCTCTTGACTCTACTGTGATATATAGGAAATAAATCCTATCGTGAGATACATGATACTGGCGTCTCAAACAAAATGCACACACCCACTACACACACACACATATATATGTATATATATATATATATATATATATATATATATATATATATATAGAGAGAGAGAGAGAGAGAGAGAGAGAGAGAGAGAGAGAGAGAGGGGGGGATAATATTAAAAGTCTGTGATTGCGTGTATACTTGTGTGGTGAGTGTTTCCGGCGCATAATGATTTAAGTTAATCTAATTTCAGTTAAGTTTTAAAAATACGAGTTGTTTATACAATATTTTTTATTTTCTTCAAACAGACATTTTTTTAAATTAAAATATTTTTAAGTTAAAGATGCACAAAGAGATCCCGCTTTGCTGTTTCGTCCAGTTGATTATAGAGTAATTATTCATATTTCAGCTTTCTTTAAACAAACAATATTTTAAATATTTAAAAATATTACTTGGCATATTTTAAAAAGTTTCAGGTGAATATGATTTAAAAATATTCTTGGCATATTAAAAAATATTTTTAAGTTAATTTGATTTAAAGCTCAAGTTTATCCCTTCTTATTAAATGATTAAACATAAACTTGTAAACCAGACCAATGATAACACAAACGAATTGAAATATTTAACTGAATCATAAAAAAAAATTAATCTTCATTTCAATAAAGTGTTGAAATCAACCTCAATGTTTTATAACCTGAACCGTCAGCAACCCAACGAGTCAAGAGTAGTCTAGTATATATATATATATATATATATATATATATATATATATATATATATATATTGTCATCTACAGACAGACTGTTTCGCTGTATCACAGCTCATCGGTGTGGCTAGACGTCCGGTTGCCTCTAGTTAGATCGAATCCCGACTGAATTGGCATCAGTCAGGGATTTTACCACTATCTATCTATCTATCTATGAGAACATAATATGTATATATATATATATATATATATATATATATATATGAGAACATAATATATATATATGAGAACATAATATATATATATAAATATATATATGAGAACCTTATATATATATATATATATATATATATATATATCAGAACATTAAATATATATATATATATATATATATATATATATATATATATATGAGAATATAATTGCAGACACTATTTGGTTATCAAAGAAGAACAATAATAATAATAATAAGATTGATTGATTGAGTTTTGCGGCTTATCAGCCCTGTGAAGACTTAAATAACCAGAAAAATATTTTTAGGATGTAAGAATTTTCTTATTTGGGAGATAATAATGATTTAGTGATATGATGCTTACTATTTAACCCATATCTAGGGGGAGAAGAGTTGGATTCATACCTTTCCCAACAGTATTTGCGCGTAAGTAAATATAACAAATCCAATGATTACCAGCTATTATCCATTACACCATCCACAACTAATCGTAGAAAATGACATTTCTTCGATTAGTTCCCAACCAAGGTGAGAGAGTTCAGTCTGCCCTATTATTTTACTCATCACAAAGTAGAGTATTAATATGAAGTGAATTTGAACTCAAACTGCCAATTACATTTTCTGCACTAGTAACCAATATCCTACCTCCATGTGTATAGAGGATAACACACTGGCACGAGCCGACATTTATGGGGTACCCATTGAAAAAAACGGATACATTCTTAATGGTTTTCAGGGCGTATTTTTCACCCTCCCCCCTCTCTCTCTTTTCCGATTTTCTTCTATTTCTTTTTTCTTTTTATCGGTATCGTCCTCCTGCATCAACTCTTTATTCTTCTATTCTCTCCCTCATAATTGTATCTCTCATATTTTTCCCTCTCCTTCATTTAAATCAGTTACTCTCTAATTCTGCACTTGTCATCATCTATTTATCTTTTTTTATAGCTTTTAACTATCTTTATTCCTCGCTTCACTTATGCCCACTCATATTTGTTTCCCAATTCCCTCATCCTTCCATCGCAAACATAACAGCCATGATGATTACGGTCTGAACAATTTATCTTGTGTACCCTGTTTCTAAGATTTTGGATCCTCGCCCAAGTTATAATGAAATGAGATTTTTCTCGCTAATTGACTAAAGTTTTCGTTTCCTCTCAGTAAACAAGAAAAATCGTTAAAGAGAGAAAAGCTTACACCTTTGTCTGATTAGTGAAGGATTATATAAAGTTCGATGCCATGAAATGACTGGGAAGGCGCATAATTTAGTCAGTCTAATGAAAAACAACTGGTTCGATTTGGAAACAATTAATTTGTGCATATAACCAGCTGGAGATGGTTTTTCATATTTCAATAAAGAGACATCAGTCGACGTCTTCGTGTACTGTTGGGGGTCAAACGCTGGACTACAAAAATACATTGATTGATGCATAATGACTTCACGTGGATAGAGGCTGAGTAATTTCCAAGTTCTTTCTTCATTAAATATTATTGAAAATAGCGCAAGTGAAATAAAATATGTAGAAAATAAAGTATGCAGAAACAAAAAAAATATATACAGAAAATAGCACGCCCGTAATAAAATATAAATAAAATATAAAAAATATAAAAATAATATAAAAAATATAAATAAAATATAAATATAATCTGGATAGAAATATAAAAATTTAAAAAATAAATATATAAAATAAAATATAAATATAATCTACATAAAAATATAAAAATAAGATACAAAAAATAAAATATAAATAAAAAAAATCGAAATAAAAATATAAAAAATACTGAAAAAAATAAAATATAAATAAAATAGCACAACCGAAATAAATATAGAGAGAATAATGCCCGTATATTTAGAAAATACCACACAGGGTTCAAAGTACCGTAGTTGCTAGCCTGTTCGAATGTTCTTTCGTTGGATAATTTAACGACATATCAACTATATATATATATATATATATATATATATATATATATATATATAGTCGTGTGAAATTTCAGATAGAATATATCTGTAAAAGGACAACGTAAATAAAAACAAAAGCAAATCTTATCGTAGCCGACGCATTTCGTCCTCTGAGGCATTTGACTTGATAAAATCTCTCAGAGGATGAAACGTGTCGGCTAAGATAAGTTTTCCTTTTGTCTTTATTCATATATATATTGATTTTCTAAGCGTAGCGTAGATATGGCACAAAGTATGGGCACCAGTGAGGATCGAACTCACTATTCAGTCGTAACTGTTTTAGTGTGACAAGGTTGCCAAGCATTACACAGCACCGAGGTGCCCATTATATATATATATATATATATATATATATATATATATAGTTGGTATAAAAATTAGTCTTCTTTTGCGTAATGTATTTTAAAATAGATAACATATCTGTTAATAAATTTGATACATTAATCTTACCTCTAAAGTTAGGACCGATATCTGAAACTCTGAGTCAGAAGATAAATCATTGACCTTTTTTATCTATCTATCTATCTATCTATCTGGTGGAAGTCGACTCTTGACCAAGTAAAACCACACCAGGACTCATTATACCAAAACGAACATTTCAGGGACGCTTTCCATCTCGTTTATGACGTCTTAAATGACCCATGAGATCTGCAAGTGACCTGTAAGCCATTTCACATTGAGCTCAGACGGGTCTTCTGACAGTAACCTGGTTATCTGATGGTTTAATTTTATGGTGCAGAGTGAGTCCACTGTCTATATCTATTCATTTACACGGATATCTGATGGCTGTCTTCTCGTTAGACCAGCATGACCACCGCTGACAGGTTGACTTATAACTGATTATTTCTTCGAACGTGAGAGCAACAGTAACATTTGAAGCCGGTGAAAGTCTTACATAGTTTGTTACAAAAACTGAAAACTAAATCCGTATTTTTGTCTTTACAATTAGGGATCGCAGCTGGAGAAATATTATGGGGTTTTGTGAGTTCGGAACGGCTCTTCTAGACTTTGCCGTATACATCACAGGTAAGCCGATCTGCAATAACGAACTGTTGATTGGTTGTCTATGTGACGCCTGAGCTGGCTTTTGAGTATATTCGGCTCCACCCATAGCAAATAAATTGAGGAACAGCTGAATTTACTTACTCTCCCTTACGATCAGAACTTTTGGTCTTCTGGCTCAGCTTATTGACTTTGCATGGAATAAACAACCTCCGTATATCTGTTTCTTCGATTTGTTTCTGTCGTCAGCCTGTACTTCTCAGTGGACAGCCAATCTTTGACACAGTCCTTGAAACGCTTCTTGGCTTTTGTTGAGGCATTGTTCCATCAGCCAGCTCTCCGTAAAACATGTGATTGGGGATAAGACCATCGGCCAATCGTATTAGATGTCTTGTCTGTTTCTGCAACATGTGAGATCCAATGAATGCCCATGATCGATTTCAGAGAGCGTAGGTGGAAGCACACTAGTCGGTTTAAATGTTTCCTGTAAACCACCCGTATAGAGAAGACTTTTAAGAGACATACCTGGGTACATACACAGAAGTGCGAGTGGGGTGTAATGGATAGCGGCTCGGAAGGTGTAATTGGTGAGCTGAAATCCAATTCAAGTTCATTACAGTCTCTTAAATAGTAGGACAGATTGGGCTCTTCAGCGTTGTGTGGCAATCAGTCTCAGAGTGTAAAAAAAAAAAAAAAACGAAACAAAACGAACCAGCGACTGAAGCTATCACTAGTCATCTTGTACATTCTTGTCACCGGACTGGAGTAACTAATATTCATGTTGTACAAGTATGTATCCCTATAAGTTCTATTAGTTACAGGTAAGAAAGTTTTTCGTCGTCAAAATCGAGTAGACAGCCATCACACACGCACACACACACACACTCTCTCTCTCTTACACACACACATATACTCGTACAGATGAAACTGCAATAAAAGCGAAATATTGAATTTACAAACGTTTCCTATTTGTTCCTTATTTTCTCATTCTGTCGTATTTAATTCATCATATATATACATATACATACATACATACATACATACATACATACATACATATATATATATATATATATATATATATATATATATATAAAATTCCGAGCGCTTTCGGCTATACTTTTAGCCATTATAAAGGAAGATTTTATCTTTTCAATATAATTGGGTGTGTGTGTTGTGTGTATATTTTTAGCGTTATAGAGAAGTTCTATTTACCGAACACAGCACATCGTGGCCATGATCGTAGTTAATAGAAAATTTAGACAGTTTTTACGCACTCTGTGTCCAAAAGAGAAAAACACTTGTTCGAGCACAAGAAAAATTAAATAAAAAGCTTAATCGTAGTACCTCGTCTGAACGTTTATAATGAAACATGCATAAACGAAAGATTGCTGCCTAAACACACAATATATATATATATATATATATATATATATATATATGTGTGTGTGTGTGTATGTGTGCGTTTGTGTGTATGTGTGTGTGGAGGGGTGTATAAAGATTGTCATAGGTCCTTAAATATAATCTCAAAGAGAAAACAAGATATTGAAAAATTGTTGAGTGTGAACACAGCATTGAGAGAGATTGTGAAAACATAAAAAAAATAATAGAATTATAACAGTAAGAAAAAATAAGTCCTATACTGGGAGATGTTCTTTCTTTCTGTCTTTCTTTTTTAATATTTACAATTGTCCTGGTATGTCTCTTTCTCTCTTTCTTTCTTTCTTTCTTTCTTTCTTTCTTTCTTTCTTTCTTTTACTGAAACCAAATAGCCTCTCTGATATGCCTTCTCCGTCTTTCTTTCCACTCGATCAAAATGAAATAGTCCATTAAAAACTTGCTTTTTTTTCTGTCATTATTTTTCTCACTGAAACTAAATAGCGTCGCTTATATGTCTTTTCTGTCTTTCAACGCCATCAAAACAGAATTACTTATTTAATAGGCATTAGCAAAGCGTAACGGTCGAGCTAACTAAGGTAAGAACCAGCAGAATTATAATAATATTGTTTTCTTGGTAATATTTGAGAATATCTCAGTAAATGATTACAGCGAACTGCTGGTGGCCAAACAATGACAAAAGCAATATAGCCCGGAACAACAATACCTGGTCGGTTCGACAATCACACGAGATGTTTGATACTTCAGAAAATCAGAGTTGATAAACTTTCTTGTTCTTTCACATTTTCCTTTTCACTCATTTTATTAAGTCTTTTATATAGTTTTTTCTCTTTGTAGCCAGCTGAAAGAAAATCTCACGGCCATGTAGGCGTTCGTTCTCGTGTTATACTGACTGATTCCATCATGAAAATATTGTTAAACGCGCATTGAGCATTTGCACGTTGTTTCAACATGTGACAGTGAAAGATCACTCGTCATATCAGAGGACGCGTGACATTTCATTATCATTATAAATGCAAATGTTAAACCGATAATGTCACCATCATCAGTTATGTCATTTGCAATAACGATTGTCTTAGAGTAAAATAATTTATTCTCTAGTAGAATTATTAGAGCTTCTGACGCATATATTAATATCGTAATAAAAAATCAGGTCACAAAATGACCAATCGTCGTGCACCAATTTTAATTAGGAAGAAACATTTCAATGTAATCCGAAACTTCATTTTTATAGCCGATAAATCTCTTCGTCCAATAGCCGTCATGTCATGAATCCCATAACCTATTAGTGTTGTAGAGGAACTACAAGTGCTGCAGCCATAGACACACTGGTGTATTTAGAGTAAGAGTGCCTGACGGAACACATCACTTTACAAGCTGGTTTTGAATTCAGATTTGTCCTTCTTGTCACCTCAAGTCAGGAGAGCCGAGTCAGTACTGCTATTTAATCTATAACATGGGCGAGTAATTTCTTTTTGCAAAGTTATATTTGCGAGAGTGAACATAACGAACTTGACTGGACTTCGAACTCGGATCGCCGATTTTCCTTTCCGAGAATCGTTACCCTGCTTGCGCATCTACTTCTTAAAAACCAGGGATGACGATTCAATCATGTCTTACATCAGGTCACAGGGGACGCATATCCTTATTTTTTTCTAAGATATATAATACGCGAAACATTTTTATTGTTTTTAGGTTTTATAGCCACACTGGAAATTATGTCTTATTTAAAAAAAAAGCTTTAAAAATATATATTGAAGACAGAGAGAGAGAGAGAGAGAGAGAGGGGGGGAGGGAGAGAGAGTGGGACAGACAGACAGATACAGAGAGACAAAGCGAGAGACACCACATTGGTTCATGAAAATGACAGAGATGGCCGAATTTACTAGAACAAAACAACACAATATGAACATTGGGCAGTTAATTTCGAACACAAAATCGAACACATTCGAAAATTGGAAAAAAACAATAAAAAAATTTAAACAGACCAACAGTTCTTTTCAATCAAACTGTTTGTATGAATTCTTGCTGCCTTATACCCTTATAAATACGCGCATACACACACAGACGCGCGCGCGGACGCACACACACACACACACACACACACACACACACACACACACATATATATATGTGTGTGTGTGTGTGTGTATGTGTGTGTGTATTTGTGAATAAGCGAAAGGAAAATTTATCTTAGGCGATGCGTTTCATCCTCTAAGTGACTTTATCAAGGCAAATGTTGATAAAGTCTCTCAGAGCGCGAAACGCGTCGGCTAAGATATGTTTTTTTTTTGTCTTTACCCATATTGTTCATTTACAGGTATTGTTTATCATCTGAAATGCTTGCATATTGGAAACAGTAAATTAATAATTTATATGTGCGTTTAAAACCCAGTAAATTTAAAAATAAGTTATTCCAATATTCGCTTGAAGATGAAAAGGAACTAATGCTTTTAATTTAATTATATAATTAAACTTAAAGTTTTTAGCTTCCATTTTTGAAACATGGTTATTACTGTGTAGCGAAAAAAAACATATTTTCAATCAGTTTATAATATTTATGCTCTGTAAATTTACATTGAGCACTGTTCTGTAAAAATAAAAAAAAAATATCAACAAAAAACACCGGATTATATATCTTACTGTTCTTTCTTTAAATATACATACATATATATATATATATATATATATATATATATATATATATATATGTGTGTGTGTGTGTGTGTTTTGTGTGTATACATACAATTATATATATATATATATATATATATATATATATATATATATATATATATATATATATATATATATACATTACAATTGCGATTACAAATTGGGAATTGATTCAAACAAAATTGAAAATACCAAAATTCTGCCTGTTTTCTCTAAATCTCTGACTTTAATAAAGGTGAAACATGTTAGATTGACTTATCTTATCACACACACACACACACACACACACACACATATATATATATATATATATATATATATATATGTGAAATTGATACTATTAGTGCTCAAAATTGTACACAAAGATCAGAACGTAATGGACGTAAATCAACGAACAATCTTGCCATAAAATCTCTGACATTCGTGAGGGGATGCCACGGTTATTAGACAGTTCAAATTTTAAACATGAGAGTATATCTCGTTCAAGCAGACGATAATCAGAGAGACATTGACAGGACTTTGATGAGGGAGAAGAATGTTGTGAATGAAAATTTATTTTAAATGTGACGGAGATATGTATTTTTTTTCCCTTAGTCTTTTAGTAATTTGTATATTCCTACCTTAGAAAAATATTTAATATCAACGTTATGCTAAGGTTAATACCGTGCAGCAGTTTCTAAATCCATTATTTTTCGAAGTGTCTCCGTATTAAAAGAGTTAATAATTTGCCACCGTGTAAAAATCT